TTGTACCCACCTTCTTGCTTCACCTTTTCTCTCTCCGTTCTCACGTGGAAACTCAGCCTCAGTCCTGAGGTCCCCTCTCTTCCTGACTGATGCCCTCTCCCCAGGAGGACCTTACCAGTCTTGGTTTCAGTTCCCACCAAAGTGCCACATTTACGTCTCCAGCCTTGGTCCCTCCTCTGAGCTCCAGAGCTGAGCATCTCAACGCGCACCCAGCATTCCCACTGGATGGTCACGATGCCCCTTCCCCTACCGTGTCCTGTGTCCTCCTCATCTAATCACGTGACGCTGTCCTCCCTCCACTGAATAAAACCACAAACCTGGGACTCATCTTCTGTCACCTCTCAAATCCAATGAAACTCCCCCAAAATATCTTTGAAATCTGCCTGCTTGTCTCCATGCCCACTACCACTGTCCCAGTCCAGGCCACCACCGTCTCTTACCTGGACACAGGCTTTCACTGGCCTCCCCCAGCCCTTTCTTAGACGCTCTATCCCCTTCCTGTAGCCAGAATGGTCTTTGTAAAGATGCTCATCGCACCATGTCACTCCCACGCAAAGTGACGAGCTCCCCATTGTCTTTAGGAAAAAGTCCATGGTCCCAAATCTGGCCCTGGGAGTCCTTTCATGACCTTTCTGGCCACAGTGACCTCTCCTGCCTCCTGGCCTTTGCTTATGCTGTTCTCTCTGTTGGAATGCTTTGCCCACCCGATGCTCTCCCTTCATCCAGCTCGTTCTTACCCATCCTTCAGCAACAAGTTTGGTTTAAACGTCTGCCCAGGTGCCCTCTAGAGTAGGTCAGACCCCTTCTACACCCAGGAGAGCCCAGCGTTTCTCCTTGGAGGTGCTCAATGAACTTGCAGTTAGCTCCCTTCTCACATGACCCTTTGTTTCATGTTTAATGTGAATTTTGCTCATTTGTTTCCCCAACACTTAGATCAGAACCGGCACAGAATCGGGGTTCCAAGGGAGGGCTCAAAAACAATGAGCTGAACGGACACTGTAAACGTGCGTCTTGCCCTAGCGACTGCCCCAGGGGTGGAAAGGATTGTCCCTGTGGTGCAGAAGAGAGCACGGTGCAGCGGGCAAGAGCCAGACAGCTGGGGTTCGAATCCTGGCTCTGCCACTTCCTGCCTGTGTGCTACTCTGCACACTACTTACCCTCTCTGTGCCTCAGTTTCCTCATCTGTGAGAAAGGGTGATGACAGGATGTATCAACAGTGCTGTTGTAAAGTTGCTCAGGACAGTGCCAGGCACATAGTCAGCACTCTCAGTGTTACCTGTAATTGCTATTCTTGTCCTGCCTGGAGTGTCAGGTGCGCAGGGACTTCCCCAAGGACAGAGAGTGCATAAACAGCAGCTCACTGGCTCAGCACCCTCACTCGAGAATGTTCCTAACTCGCACATCACAGTCTGTGCACCATGGGGTGATGTCCGACTTCAGCCTGACCACCGAGATGGGCTGGGGGTCGATTGCCTTTAGGTGGGAATCAGCTGCAAATATATCACCCTGGAAAGCAGCGTCCCCCTGCCAGCTTTCCTGCTCAGAGTCACCTCCTCCAGGAAGCCTGCCCAATCCTCTGCCCATTCTATGGCAAGACTCTGCCCTGCAACACCCCCTTCCCAGCCCCGTGTGTGTGTCCCCATGGTGGTCATCACCACCTGAAATTATTTTTGACTCTTTACTTACCTTTTCCTTGTGTCCCCCTTCACCCAGAGCCCAGGCTCTGTGAGGGTAGGGGTCAAGTCTATCTTGTCACCAGTGCCTAGCACAGTGCCTGGCACACAGTAAATACTCAATCGCTTACAGTGCAACAAATAAGCACCTGAAACTGGGGAATGCCCCAGGCTTTAGGTTCAAACCTCACCTAGGTGCTTCCACATCTGTCCCTCCCAACACACTGTAAGTCTCTCAGCCACCCACTGGTCATGTCTGTCCACTGCCACCTCCCTTCCTGTCCCCCAGCAGCCAGAACAGGTGCAGGAGCCTAGCAAGTGCCCAGTGAATGCTCAGTGACTGCACAAGTCCATTCCTTTCAGTCGAAAACCCAAACCTCAATCCCTTGGAACCAGCCCAATCGACCAGAAGCCTTTTGAAAAAATAAGCATATGTTGTATCAAAATATTGGGATAACACAATTATGACAATAAAGAGGCAATTAGCGCACTTAAAAATAACTATGCATGCAAACACGTACATGTCTCTTCTGAATGTAATCAAATCCTAAATTCATGACATCTGAACACAAACCAGCCCGCCCTGAGTACCTACTGTGTGCCAGCCACTGGACCCGGCATTTTCACACACCTCTTCAGTTAATGCGTGTACATTCTGCAAAGAAGTGACTATGATCTTCATTTTGCAAATGAGGAGGACAGGGCTTGGAGAGTGGAAGTGTCACATAGCTAGTAGGTCTTGGGTGAGATTCACACCCAAGTCTGGTGAGTCTGAACCCAGCTTTTGCCCACAGTAGGTCACATTCATACTGCAGACTTCCCCTAAGTGAGAGATTGGCCACTCAGTGCTGCCTCATTTGTTCTCTACCACTGGTGTCCTCCTGAAAATATAGAAAGAGATGCCAAGTTGTAAGAGCTTTGGAAGTTAAAAATATTAGTAAAATTTTGCAGGAGGTCTGCAAAAGGTTTCCTCTTCCTTTCCACCCATTCTTTCTCAGATCCACGCCAATCGCATTTTCAACCCACCTTCCACCAAAACTGTTTGGGAAGGTCACCAATGACCTCCATGTTCCTAAATCCAGTGGTCATTCTCAGTCCTCCTCCGGCCATCTAAC